CACCCACTAATTAACTCACCAGTAGCTTGTCATGTAGTTGCATCCGTACAAGTTTAAGTCCGTGTTCGGCTAGTTATTAAAATAGTTAATTAGTGGTTATTAATAGTTATTAACTCACAAGAGTGACTGAGACAACTGTTGACAAAACACTCCAATAACATTCCATAATCATCAGAATCAACAGACGACTCCTAATTAACAAAATTAATTAAAAATGCAAAAATTTGAGCTTGTTCGATTTCTAAAATTTTTGCAAACATTCAAATCACATAATTAATTATTCATTAATAATCATTAATATCGTACCAGTATTCTTGAAGCTCTAGTGACGTTACCCCCGGCAGTATAGGCCCTAATCCGGAGGTGAGGGTAGGTATCACCCTTACACTCAAAGAGGTAACCAATGGCTTCCGATACCATACCTAGTCATTATCATAGAGGGTGTGGTCTAAAAAAGGCGGGGCCATACCTTCGGACAAGAGACGCAAAACAGCTAGTTCAAAAATTGATTCAAACTGGATCAACTGAAATTAAAAAAAAATAAAAAGTAAATCTGAACAATACTAGCTCAGTCTCACTCTTCTATCAGTAATGTTTGGTGGTACAGTCCCGTGATCTATATTCCAGATCATGACCGCCAGATCAATGCAGTCCAAGTGAAAACTTTTACAATACTGACGAGCAAGAGTAGCATCACCAGGAGGAGTGGCCACGTCCAATAAAATATACAATATCTTAAAATGACAGTCAGGGAAAAAACATTGATGATTTTTGCTTTAAAATTACTAATAATTATTATACAAGAAATACATGTACACGTACTGTAATAAATAATTTTTATTCATAAAAATTGTTACAAAAACACATACCAAAGTTACCCAATGCTTCATACTAGTACATGCATTAATTTTAATATACACAGAATAATATAGGATACTATTAACTGCTGGGAGAGTGAATCAGGATAGGCTTTAGCTTTCAATAAACACTACAAATGAAAGACCATACAATACATACACTCCATTGGTTCCAGCCTTACACTGATATCTGCTGCTGGATAGTGAAACGGGACTTTATCAACAAACTCTAAACCACGAATCAAATGATCAAGAGCCAATCCAAAACTAAACAAAAAATAATAGAAATAATTAAAAATAGTACAGGTACGTGTTACTTTTCTCTCTTGTCAGAAATGTCTTCATATCTACTTGCTAGTTCGTTGGAAGGAAAAACAAAGCGATCATCATCTAAAGCATCACAATCCATAGCAGCATCTGGAGAAGAGAATTTGATATAGAAAAAGAGAGGAAACATTTATTGAATAACAATGTATATATGCATGTACGTGTACCTGTTAAATGAGGAAGGAGTTCTGTGTCCATTAACCAGTGAGTCGTCTTCATAATCTGCAAAGAGATTGTTATAATAATAAACAACTGCATCTTGTGCACTGTAAGAGAGAGAGCTAGAAGCTAGGTTACATACCTCATTGTGTATATTAGCAGTGCAGTATAGATATGAGATATCATCGTTGCTTCCATCAGTTTCAGTAGAGAGTGTCTCAATCACTTTAACAAGGACAGAGAAGCACTTACAAAGAAGATTAGCGTAAGATAGAACAGCTGGATGGAACTCATCACCAAAGAGTAGTCTATCAACTAAAACAGAAAAGAAAAACCAATCTCAACACGCTATAAATAGCAGCTGCATGTTACAAGTACATTGTATCTTCATCCTTTCTCTTACTCAGGTTATTCTTCTCAGTTACAAGCTCCTCTACCGTCTTCCTGATCCATTCAATCATATTCTCTAATGACAGCTGATAACCAGCAACAACACACGACTCAGCCACGCCCATAAGTACAGACTGAAGTCCATGCTGAAGACAGACGGATAGAATGAAATATTGCATCTCAGTCAGTCCTTGAATGACTCCGCCCACTAAACTAGACCCTGGTTCACTTGCCCCGCCCAGTATTGGTACCAATCCGACACACTGTAGCTCTGAGAGGTAGTGCTGTGGGTTGGACATCACTGCTGGACCATGGGTTAGTAACTCTGTGATTACCTGGAGGTGGGAGGAGTCAGTAGTTATTAATAATATTAATAGTGAATCTGTGAGGTACTTGAGAACGAAGACCTTCCAATTGAAAGATGCCGACCTCTTCATTTGAGATGATATTAAAACCTAAAAAAGGAATTATCATTATTAAATAATAATAATAATAATAAATAAAAATAATAAATCATGTACAGTGTACTATAATCTTGATTCTACAGTCCATAAAAAATTTAAAAAATCATTAACTATTTTTAACAGTCACATTTACTAAATATTACTATACAGTACAGAATAACATTATAATGTACATCAAACCACTCCCACTTACTCATTGATAGTGATTCTAGAAAACTCCGAGACTCAACCTGGAACAATACACTCTTATCAACTGAGACCAGACCGGTAGAACAATTCTAAATAAAGCACACACAATAAATATTAGTAGCAGCTGCTTCTCGTCATACCAGAATACAACCGTGATCCATTGATACTTCAAACTGAATTAGAAAAGGACAAGTTTTACGACTAATGGAAATAGAGAGAAAGAGAGAGAGAGAGAGAGAGGGGGGGGGAGAGAAAGGAAAAGAAATAAAGGAGAATGAACATGTACCATACCCTAATTTGTTAGTGTCACTCCAGCCAGGATGCAGTGGCATCTGCGAGTTATACCAACCATTCAAATCAAAAATTGCCACCATCCCTCGTCCCTCCTCCTCCACACCGCGACACATAAACATCACCAACGTACTGTCAATGGGCGGAGCTAAAGGGCTTTAATTAGAACAAGGATTAATCTGGAGCTTACTTGAAACATGCGAAGTACCTTTTACTAGCGGCAATACCCTCACTAAGAATTACATAAGAGAAGGAATACATAGAAATATAAATGTGCATGTGCATGTACACTATCTTACTTATAGTAGAGGAGTTGACCATTACTGCACTGGTATTGTGGTATGGCCACATTGTGTGCTCGAATCTTCTGTTGCAACCTTCAATCACCTAAAAACAATAATCCAATTCACATGATAGCTGCACATATTATAGTGTTTACTGTACTTGGTATAACACTGTATTGGGGTAGTCCGTCTTCTTCTTAAAACCCATCTGGTACATAGTGACTGAAGGAGATGAACCAAAACTATAATAACAGGATTGGAAGGATCATAATTGCACACACTAAAAAGTATATATGTATGTAAACCACTCACACATGTTGTGCCTTGGGGCCGTTGCGAGATACCCAAACGTATAGAAAGTTCTTTGGATCGTTCTCGGGTTCTTGAACAGCAAAGTGAGTGACGGGGGTAGGCAAACGGCGTATAAGGAGAGGGAGGGAATAAAGGAGAGTGGAGTCAAGGAGACTATACAACTGAAAACCGCCAAAACTGTATCCAACCAGAAGACCAGCTGCTAAAGGGAAGTGACTAATAGCTGTGACTGACACTAGAAGGAGAGAGAGAGAGTCAAAATTTTATGACATTGTTTGATTCATATTGATGTACTCATGCTATGTAGCAAGTTTGAGCTGATTCTTATTAAAATTTTTCCCAGTTACAAGCATAAATTTACACAAAGCAGTCATTGTTTGACTGTGTTGCTTCTTTACCTCCTTCAAATGATCCAATCAGTTTACTAGTCGTGGGATCAGGATACTGAAACAAGGAGCCACTACGCTTTATATAACGACCTAAATCATGACAATAAAAGAAACTTTATTAAATGGTACTGCCCACAATAATTATTGTACATATATACTGTTAGATCCAGAGGGAGTTTAAGTCTTTCTAAATCTCTCATTTTTAGACTTTGGTCTCTCATATTTAGCCTAAGTCTCCTAAATTCTCTCGTTAGATCGGTCTTTCAAAAATGAATATCTAGATCTAACACTGTACATGTAAATGCCTACCATTAATATCAAGAGCTAAATGGACTCCATCTCTGATACTGTTGGTGGAGT